GGCCCTGGCCTGAGGTGCTTCTCGAAGTTCATGCGGGTGGTTCTGGGAGCATCGCTGGAGCTCAGCCCCGGACCCCCTCATCACACTCCACAGATATACCACCTTCACTTCTGCCACCATACAGGGCCACGGCCAGTGGTCTACAAGACCAGCAAGTGCCTGGCGCCTCCCCATCCAGGTCCTGGCCAGGGTGCCCTGCAGGGCGGGAGGAGTCTGCCATTCACCACCCCCCTGCTCCTGATGCATGCTACTGCCTGACGTTTTTGGGAAGGAGACAGGTACCTGACAGGGGACTGTGTATGGCCGGAGACAAGGCCTGAGCAGGGTGGGGGCATTTCAGAGGCAGGCAGAGGTTCAGCAAGGCTGGAGCAGGACATGGTTTTACAGCCAGCCTGCTTGCCTGGTTTGCTGAGGGTGGCCAGGCAGGGTTCCTTCTCCAGAGCTGAGTCCAGTACAGATCTGAAAGAACTCCTGCCTCCCTTCATCCAATTCCAGACCCCTGTTCTTGCAAAGGGGCTCCCACTCCCCTAGCTGGGGTTGCAAAACCCAGTGGGAAAGGAGGGCAGGGGCCACACGAAGTAGAGCTCATCCCTGCCACTGAGGCACACAGTGTTCTTTCCATCCCGGGCAAAATGCCACCTGATTCCGCTGAGACACCTTCACAATGGGGAACTCATCACCAGCGAAGGCAGAAAGCTTCCCTTAGGGCCTGAAGATCTGCCTCCTGGAGGCTCCTGTCCCTTGGCCATTCCTTTGTGGTTTCACCCAATGTTTAGCAGCCCCTCCTGTGTGCCGGGCCCTCTGCTGGGACTGGGGACAGAGGGACAATGGAGGCAGAGGAGGCCTCTCCCCTCCAGAGCCCATGGCAAGATGCAGGGGAGGGATGTGAGCAGGCTGGGGCCTTGGGGGTAGGGGCAGAGCAGGGAGCTAGAGGGACACGCAGGGGGGCCCCCTCTCCTGGGACGTGATCGTGAAGCCTCTCCCAGAAGAAGTGATAGGTGAGTTGACACCTGAGACGTAAGGCCAGGTTGGGCATAAGAGAGTCTTCAGTCAGGGGAGGCAGGGTCATGAGACAGCCCGGTGCATCTGGATGAGTGAAACAAGTCAGTGGGTCTGGATCCCGAGAGAAGGGGATGGCGAGGCAGAGGCTGTGCCTCCCAGGCCTGGAGGGCCCAGGGCAGAGGCTGGGGTTTCCCTGAGCCAGGAAATGGCAGGGCCAGGCCGTGGAGAGGAGGTGGCTACCTTGACAGGGCATAAGGCACACCAAAGCCCTGGCCTGGTCCCACCCTCCTCTCCAGTCTCTCTCTAGGAACCCCACCCACCACGCATCCCACCCCCACGCTGTGGCTACTGCTTCTAGCATGGCCTGAGCCCACCAGCTCCTGTCTTCCTCAGCCGGGACATGCTGCGCCCCAGCCTGAAGCTGACTCCTCTGGCTGAAGTTGGTCCTGGGGTTAGGCATTGCCTCCTCCAGGCAGTCCCCGCAACGTCTCAGGCCATTTAGGTGTCTTTTCTGTGTATCTCACCAGCGCCTGGATTGTTTACTTTTCTGACACCCCCCAATATGTGCGCACGTGCACACACACACGCATGCACACACACATACACGCGCACGTGCACACACACACACACAGACGCACACACGCACACGCGCACGCAAGCACGTGCTCACTGGGCAGTGTCTGCCATGATGTGGGTGTGGCATGCAGCTCTGTGGGGCAATGGTGGAGCGGCCAGGCTAGGGAGGGTGTCTTGGGGCATCTGGACCTGTCGGGGACTCTCAGCTACCTCTGTCGAGAGTGGCCCTCCTCTGTTCCTTTTAACTGAGCAGAGTCTGGAAGATAACGCAGTGGCCCACAGTGGCTCCAGCCCCAGCCACAGGGCGTGCTCAGGGCGCCCCTCCCACACAGGGTTGGAGCGTGATCTCCACCCTAGTTGGAATTGGGGTGGGGGCCTCTGTCTGTGTCAGCCTCTCTCCCAGGCCACAAGGGGGTGCAGAGTAATGTGTGGTATCCTTTCCTCCAAGGGTCCCCCTCTGTTCCGGCTGACACCAAAATAGCTCAGTCAAGCTCCATGGGCTGCAGTCAGAGTTCCCACATGAGCCACGCCCACCTGCACCCCTGTACCACCCCAGCTGCCCCCCATCGCTGGCTCACAGCTCTGAATTCAAAGGCCAGCTCCACCCACAGCCCCTTTCACAGCCCCTCCTCTCAGCTGCTGGCCAACCTATTCCCAGAGACCTTCAGAAGCCCAGGACCAGGCCATGTGGATGGGTTGGGACACAGGAAGATGGAGGCCGTGAGCTGGGAGGGAGGGAAAGGGCTTATTTTCACTCTTGGCACACTTGTGCCCCTCCCCTCCCCTGAGCCCCTCGGCAAAGTGGCGAATGATGTCTGCTCTGGGGAGTGCTTTCTTTGCAGGGCTGTACTGGGGCGGAGCCAGGAAACCTGACGAGGGCGGGAGGGGAAGAGTGAGGGAAGGAGAGGAGGGGGTCTGCGGTCTGCAAGTGGGATCTGGGCTCGAAGTTTTGCTGTCGATGATTTGGAGTGTTTCTTCCACCCAATCAGGTGGATAAGTGTTTCCATGAGGAAGGGCTGATGTTCCTATTTGATGGAGAGGCTCCAGAGACCTTGGTCAGCCTGACCGGGGCCCAGGAGCAGCTGAGGGACCGGGTCTTTGCTCAAGCATTCTCTGAGTTTCATGTGGCCGTGATTGTGTTCAGCAGCCCCTCTTCCTCCACTTCTGGATGGAAAGAGGCAGGGTTTCCATGTCAGCTGGGGCTGGAGGTCCTGGGCTCCCGGCTCCCATCCTGCCCTCCTATCCCCCAGCCTCTGCTGGTCTCTCCCTGCCACTGAGCTTGGAGTCCTGCAGACGCAGCTGGTGGCTAGAGACTCAGGGAGGCTGCCCGAAAGTTCACAGCCCACACCCAGCTCCACCGTCACCTAGTGAGGCCACATGGCCAGGCTGGGCCTCAGTCTCCTCATCTCTGGAACGGGGATGGTGGAGTGTTCCTCGCAGTTTTCCAAGTGCGCTGAGCTAACCCAGGAGCTGAAGGCAGTGACAGCAAAGGCTCAGCCACACAGCCCTTGGCTCGTGGGATCTGCAGAATGGTGGCAGGGTCATCATGTCCCCCTTGGCTTTCTGCATTTCTCTGGCCACAGGAGGGGTCAGCAGGAGGTGCTGGGAGTTGATGTCTCTGAATGGCCCCCAGCCAGGGAGATGATAGGCAGGTGCTCCTCCCGAGGTGTGCTCTGCAGCCTCACAGAGGCCTGGGGTACTGGGTCCCCTTGCCTGCAGCAGAACCCCCCCATTCATTCCTGTCCCTGTCCCTCCCCAGCTGTTCCTGCTCCTCACGGTACTTCTGGGGGTCCCACCTTCACCTGCATCCTTGTTCCAGGGTCTGCTTTCAGCGGGAGCCTGGCCAGGAAAGGCGATTGCGGGTTCACCACCCTGACCCTCAGAGAGTGGAGGAGGAAGGGTAGAGGCCAGGCCCACTCCGTGAGTGCTGACTCCGGTGGGTACAGGGAGAGTGGGGTGTCAGCATTGTTGGCAGAATTTTTGGCTGAGGTCCCTTTAGAGAAACTGGGATTGGTGGGTGGAGGAGGGAGTTAGGCAGGGCTCCGAGCTCCTGCGACCCCCACTGCATCCCCACCCCGAGATAGCTGGGGAACCAGGATGGTCCTTGACCCCTTGCCCCTGGACTGGGCAAGCCAAGACCCTTGTGGCTAGAGGGACTGTGGCCGCTTGGCTGACATCTTACAGATACCAGGTCGGCTCCTCTGAACCATCTTACTTGTGCAAAGTTAATGTCATGTCATTAGCAGCTGGAAACCTCACAGGAGATTAAACATTAAATGGGGTGTGCTTGGAAATCTGGTCTCGTGTCCTGGGCCAAGGGTCAAGGTTGTGGCCCTCAGTTTTTGCTTAGAGGTTTCCTAAGAGACAGGTTTTCTAAGTGGCTGTGACTGAAAAGTGACGGGCCAGGAGTTCTGCCTCCCAGGGTCTCTGATGAGCCCCTGAGATGAACCAGTCCTTTGATGAAACTCTCAAATGCCCCCACAGAGCTGAGAGTCTCGGGTGGGGGCTGCTTGTGCAGGGCAGGGCCAGGGGGCTCTCCATGGGGCTGGGGACAGCAGAAGGGCACCTTCCCCATGGTCTGGGAGTCATCCTCAGAGAAGGTGCCAGGTGTTACATGTGGGTCCACAGAGGAGAGGGAAGGCAGCTCACCAGGCCAGAAGGACAGATGGCTGGGGCCCAGAGCCCCTGGTGGGTGGGTCACAAAGGGAGCTCTGGCCATTCCTCCCCCTTCCCTCACTCCCTTCATTTCTTCCTTCTGCAAACACTTTGCAAAAGCATCGTCTCCTGTATTGGGTCTGTGTGGGGATGCTGATGTGAACAGGACAGGATGGGCCTCTGCCCCTCGAGGGAGCACCCAGTCTAGAGGAAACAGACAAAGAAGGCTGTTGAGATGCAGTGTGAGAAGTGCTTCTCAGGAACGCACAGGAGGCATTAGCTTTGGGCTGCACCTTGAGGACAGGTGGGATTTGGATATTTGGAGTGGAGGGAAGGATGTTACTTCTAGAACATGCAAAAGTAAGGGGATAGGAAGCAGCAGGGAAGGCTGGCAAGGCTCAGCAGGAAGCGGGACAGTGCACTACACAACCTTGGCATGGGGTCATGCTGGCTAAGTTCCATCCATGCAGAATGCCTGTACCCTATGTTTTACAAGCATCTGTTTATGTGTCTGTGTCTGTCTCAAGGGCAGACACCAGGTTGGTGCATCTGTACCCTCTGGGACTGAACAGTAAGACACGCGATAGGTGCTGAGTGAATTCAGAATGGGCAAATGGATGAATAGATGGATGGGTGGATGGATGGAAGGGTAGATAATGGGTGCCTGGCTGGGTGAGTGTCAGGACGGCTGGATGAATGGATAGATGGATGGGTGGATGGATGGATGGATGGAAAGGATGAACATGTAGATGGATGGATGGGTGGGTTGATGAATAAATGGTGGGTAAATACATAAGTGGGTGGGTGACGGGATGAATGGATGACGGCTAGATAGACAAGTAGATGGATAGATGGATGCGTAGGTAGACAGAGCTGTGGGTTGATGGATGAATGCTAGGTAGATAAATAAATGGGTGGGTGATAAGATGGATGATGGATAGACAAGTAGATGGACAGATGGATGGGTAGGTAGATAGATGGGTGGGTCGATGGATGAATGGTAGGGTAGATGGGTGGATAGATGGGTGGATGGACGGTTGGTAGGGTAGGTATATAAATGGATGGATGAATAGATAGATGGATAGATGAATGGATGGATCCATCCACCATTTCAGGCTAGATCAGAAACTGCGGGCTTCCACAGAGACCCGTAAAAACCTACTTACTGCTGGAGCCACCTCTGTGGGGTGAAAATGGACTGCATGGTTTGTTAGCAAACGTACTCTTGACTTTAAATGCAATCCCCTGAGGCCGGGTCTCCAGCTATGAGGAGGGTGATGCTTGCGGGTCCCCCGTCCCCTTCACTGTGGAAATGGAGCCTCTCCTTGGGGTGCAGTTGCTGAATCAGGTGGAGGTGGGCTCCTGGGGGTGAGGGTTCTCCTCCCTGGAGTAGTTCAGCAGAAGGCGAACTCCGCAGACACACGCCCCCCACACCACGGTCCAACCAGAGGCTTGGTGAGTGGGTTGGAACCCACAAGCCTTTGGGACCTGAGGGTTCCCTGAGTACCTGCCCATCAGTACTTAGAGAAGCATCCGTGTTCTTGTCAGTGGACCTTCTGCAGAGTCAGGACAGGGCAAGGCAGCCTTCAGGAAGCGTGAGCCCAGCCCTGAGCATCCCTCCCAGAAGAAGAGTTTCCAGTCAGAAGGAGGAGCCAGCAGGTGCATGGGCTGGAGGGTCTCGAGGGGTGCGGGGCTCCGTCTTTGCAAAAGAAACCCCGTCCAGCCCTCGGGCGTTGCTCCTCTTCACTGGGTGGCTGTCTTCAGAACCCCTGGTTCTGAACTCTCACACATGTGCCAGGCTGTGGACAAATTCAGGCTCATGTCCACATCTGTGGGCTGGAGGTGGTGTCAGCAGGTAAGGCTTGGGGTCACTGAGGAGACTGCAGAATGGCTGGGAAGGTGAGACTTAGGGTGCTTTGTAAGAACAGGATGGGGTGCTCGTTAGCGGGGCCCCAGCTGTCTTCCTAGGTGGCATGGAAGTGACTAGGCCTGAAATGGGAGCAGTTTCTGGAATGGGCGGGAGGAGGTCGGAAGGGCAGGGAGCAAAGGCTCCCACTGCCCTGGGTCTAAATCCTGCCTTTGAGCTGTCCTGCCGGCGAGGCCTCCCACCCCCCAGGCCTGGGGTCAGGATGGAGGGTGAGGGCCAGAGCTGCAGTCAGCAGCACATTATAGGCACTGGCACCTCACTAGGTGAGGGCAAAGGTCGCCCGCTTACCCTGACCTTGGAACCGATTGTTGTGCATGGTGCCTCTGTTCTCCAAGCGTCACTTTAATCAGGAGCCAGCGCTGGAGCACACGAGGAGGGACCCTGTTATTGTGAAAGGAACTAGGGTCCTCATCAAGCAGACCCTGGCCAGCTCCCTGCCCCTGCCACGGCCCAGCTCTGAGTCTTGGGCTGGGTCATGGGTCCCTGTCTCTGCTTCCTTGCCTGGACGCTGGGACAGTGGAGCCTCCGTCTGCAGGTGGTGGAGGGATCCAGGAGAGAGTGCTGTGGGCGCCCGAGAATGAGACGGGACCAGGACACGGAGGCGGCCATCAGACTGTTCGTAAATAGATGGAAACCCGATCTCCAACGCTGACCTCACTTCTTACAGTGTCTAAACCTCACAGCATCCTGCCGTCCTGCCGTCTGAGTCTGCAGTGAGCGGCCAACACCGAGCCCCTCCACCACCCCGGTGCTGCTCACCACAAGTGAACCTGAGCAACGCCTGCAGGCTGGCCTCTGGAGCTCAGCTACAGCCCGAGGGCCAGGAGTCACCTGAGTCCTCGTGGTCTGTGTTGGTCTGGGAGCTGGCAGGGCAGGAGGGGAAAGCCCAGCGGGTGGGGAAGTGGCTGCAGCCCTCACCCCCTCCTCCAAGTCCTGGCTCAATGCAGTTAGACCTGGGCCTGGGAGCTCAGCTCCAACACGATTTACAATTCAATTGTGAAATGGGATAAAAATGAGATATCCCTCTTCGGGCCTCTCAATTTTCTCTGTTAAAGCTCCCGTTCCTCCTAGTAAATTTCTCTATTTCTAGATGAGCTTTTATGTTGTGTTGACAGGTAGGGGCCAGGTCGTGGGAGGGTGGTCTGATGACTGCTTTCCTTCTTTGCTCCCGGAGAGGCTGCAGCCACGTTGACTCACCATGTGGGCTGTGATCTGAGCGGTGGAGGTGTACGGAGAGGAAGCGGTCCTGGTGGAATCCCAGCTTCCCCATTCATAAGCTGCGTGACCCCAGGCAGGTTACCAACATCTCTCCTTCTATATGAAGTGGGCATTGATAATGCAGGTGGCAGGCTGGGGGCCAGGGGACAATGCCTGGGACAGACCCAGAAAGCAGGATTCGAGTCTGTGTGTGTGTGTGTGTGAGTGTGTGTGTGTGTGTGTGTGTGTGTAGGTCACCACTGTGGGCTACCAGAGCTCAGTGCCATCTGGGGCCATGTGAACCAGTGCAGAATCCACATCACAGCATCACCCAACGAGGGGTGAGAGTTGGGGTGAGTGTCCATGCTTGCCCCGTGAGGGTCAAAGCTGCCCCCATGGCAGGCAACCCCTACAGTTCTGGCCTGCCCTGTGCAGGCAGCACTGGCTCATGTCCAGCAAGTGTCCTCAGGCAGGTTCCCAGGGGCTGGTGGTCAGGCCAGCCGCAGGGCAGTGGTGGGTGGAGAGGGTGTGGGTGGTGTATTGGGCTGCCATCACTGCAGAACGAATTCCCACCAGCTGCGGGCTTCTAGCGTCTCATGGCTGAGCACGGCCCTGTGGGTTGCAGTCTGGCACATTTTGTCTGGATGCTCTGCTCAGGATCTCGCAGGCTGAAATAAAGGTGTGTCCTGGGCTGTGTTTTTACCTGGAGCCCCCCCTGGGGAGGAGCTGCGTTCAGGTGTGTCCTGGGCTGTGTTCTCACCTGGAGCCCCCACTGGGGAGGAGCTGCGTTCAGGTGTGTCCTGGGCTGTGTTCTCACCTGGAGCCCCCACTGGGGAGGAGCTGCGTTCAGGTGTGTCCTGGGCTGTGTTCTCAGCCGGAGCCCCAACTGAGGAGGAGCTGCATTCAGCTGCCCCATGAGGCTGGCAGAGTTTCCTTGCATCTGCATGCCTGAGGTCCGTTTGCTCCCTGGCTGTCCACCGAGGACTGCTCCCGGCTCCTCCAGCCCCACCTCAGCTCCTTGCCTGTGGTCCTCTCCAAGACAGGGCATTTTGCTCACTGAGGCCAGCAGGAGGGGTCTGACATCCTTTGCCTCTGACCTCCAGACCCAGATTTAAAGAACGCATCTCCCCTTTGATTACCTCAAAATTCAGATTAGAAGCCCAATTACATCTGCAAAGTCCCTCAAGTGTGGGAGGAACAAGTGAGTATGACAGAAAGCACCCTTTGGAATGCTTCACCCTTCACATTTCACCCTTCACCTTTCACCCTTCACCCTTCACCCGTCCCCTCTCACCCTTCACCCTTCACCCTTCACCCTTCATGGAGTGCTTCACCCTTCACCTTTCACCCTTCACCTTTCACCTTTCACCTTTCACCCTTCACCCTTCACCCTTCATGGAGTACCTTCACAGAGTGCCCTCATGAAGTGCTTCCGTCCCACACTTGAGGGGGTCCTGCTGGCATCCAGAATCCTGCCTGCCACAGTGGGCACCAACCTAGTTTGTTGACATGGTGGCCAAACAGCAAGGTCCTGGTAGCAAAGATCTCACTGTCCAGTTGTAGAGACAAACAGAGACATGGTCAGCACAAGATTCTACCAGGTCTACGCCTCACAGCCTGTGAAGGTGAAGAGCAGAGGTCCTGAGAGAGGACGGTGCATGCAGCAGGGTTAGGGCCAGAATCTCTGCGAGGGTAGCAAGGTATACACCTCAGAGCCTGTGAAGGTGGAGAGCAGAGGTCCTGAGAGAGGACAGTGCATGCAGCGGGGTTAGGGCCAGAATCTCTGTGAGGGTAGCAAGGTATACGCCTCAGAGCCTGTGAAGGTGGAGAGCAGAGGTCCTGAGAGAGGACGGTGCATGCAGCGGGGTTAGGGCCAGAATCTCTGTGAGGGTAGCAAGGTATACGCCTCAGAGCCTGTGAAGGTGGAGAGCAGAGGTCCTGAGAGAGGACGGTGCATGCAGCGGGGTTAGGGCCAGAATCTGCGAGGGTAACGCTTTTTGTTTTTTGAGATGGACTCTCGCTCTGTTGCCCAGGCTGGAGTGCAGTGGCACAATATCAGCTCATTGCATCCTCCACCTCCAAGGTTCAAATGATTCTTCTGCCTCAGCCTCCTGAGCAGCTGGGATTACAGGCACTTGCAACCATGCCTGGCTAATTTTTGTATTTTTAAGTAGAGACAGGGTTTCACGATGTTGGCCAGGCTGGTCTTAAACTCCTGACCTTGTGATCTGCTCGCCTGCCTCCCAAAGTGCTGGGATTACAGGCATGAACTGCTGCGCCCAGCCAAGAGTAACATTTACAATGAGTCCTGGAGGATGGGAAGGTGCTAGAGTTGGGGCGAGGGAAGGGAGTGTTCCAAGTGGTGACAGCATCAAACAGTCCATGCAAAGGCCCCGAGGCAGTGAGAGCCCCGTGCATCTGAGGAACAGAGGGAAGGTCAGTGTGGCTGAAAGGGGTGACCTGTGGGTAGGGGAGGAGATGGGAGGCTCCAGGGACTGGCAGAAGCAGCCACCCAGGCCCCTCAGGGCCAATAGTGATGCGGGGGGATACTCCCAGCTTTATCTTGAAAGAACTGAATTAAGGGCCAGCCAGGGTGGCTCACGCCTATAATCTCAGCACTTTGGGAGGCCAAGACAGGCAAATCACCCCAGCCCAGGAGTTCAAGACCAGCCTGGGCAACATGGTGAGACTCCGTTGTCTCAAAAAATAATTTAAAAAATCAGCCAGGCATGGTAGTGCATCCCTGTAGTCCCAACTACTCAGGAGGCTGAAGTGAGAGAAACACCTGAGCCCAGTAATTCAAGGCTGCGGTGAGCCGCGATCGCACCACTGCACTCCAGCCTGGGCAATACAGTAAGAATCTGTCTCGAAAAGAAATGGAATGAGATTCTGTAAGTACATCAAGTGCCAGCACACAGCCTGGCATTCACAGGTGCATGATGAGGAGGCAGTGGCAGAATTCCGAAATTCCATGTCCATGTGACCCTCTCCCTAGGTGTAGGTGAGCCCTGTAACTTGCTGAGGCCGAGGTGAAGGGATTGTGCAGATGAATCCCCCACACTGCAGAATTTAAGTTAATCAAGGGGGATGATGCTGGGTGGGCCTGGTCTAATCAGGGGAGCACCTTAGAGGTGAGCCTAGAGGCAGAGGTTTGCGGGAGCAGATGCCCTCCCTGACCTCCCTGCAGCTTTGAAGAAGGAATCGTCTATGAATTCTACAGCCGCAAAGAAACATGTCCTGCCAATCCCTTGAGGGACCGTGGAAGGGTGTCCTGACCTATTTGAACTGCCCCTGCGATTTCAGCCCTGTGAGCCCCTGAGCAGGGCACCTGGCTCAGCCTTGCTCGGACTCCCGGCCTACAGCAGTGGTGATGTCACAGATGTGTGTTCCAAGCTGCCGAGTGTGTAGCAGAATAATAACAGAAAACAGATACAAAGTGTAGCCATTCTTGCATGGCTTCTCTGGGGCGCACACGGGGCTCACAAACAGGAGGTGGTTCCTGCTGGTCCTGGGGTCACGTCGCACCACCATCCAGCAGGCAGCCATTCATTCATCACTGCCAGTCAGTTACGCATGCTAGCAACCCACTGACAATGTGCAAACCCCTGCCCGTGGACCCCAGACACGTGCTGTGTTGCGTCCATGCCACACTCGCATGGTGGCCGTGTCTCTCAGCGGTGCTGCCTTCAGCATCCTCCTCAGCACCAGGCTCTGGGCAGTGGCACCAGCTCTTCAGAGCTGGTGGAAGATGGCCCTGGTCTGTGCCCCTGACCAGGACCGAGCAAAACACTGTGTCCAGCACTGTGAAGCGGCCGGAAATGAGGGGACAAAGTCCTGGGGCCAGCGGGAGGCCCCAGGAAGGGCAGGGGCTATGCTCTGGGCCTAAAGGAAGGATGGGGGTTTTGAGAAGAGCAGAACGAAAAGGGGAAAGGGGACTTCTGGGAAGGGGACACCTGTGCGCAAAGCAAAGGGGCGAGTGGCAGGCCCATCTCATCTGCTCCCGGCACTCACAGGTGCAGCATTCTGATGCCGTTTACAGACGAAGAGCTGAACTCAGGCTGCCTCAGTGACTCGCTCAAGGCCGCTTAGCTGCTCAGTTGTAAATCTGGGGTGAAATCTAAGTCCATCTGACCCTTCAGTTTGTGCAGAGAACCCGGATACCCCAGCCTCCAAGGTGTCCCCCAGGCTGGTACAGATCCTGTGACCAAGCCCAGCCGCTTCTTTCCCATTATGGAACGCAGGACCCAGGTCAGCACAGCCCCTGCCAGTGGCTCCAAGGCCTCTGTGAATCCCTGTGCCAAACACTCTCTAGTCCTGGCCAGTGCCACTGTCCCCTGCCTGCCACCACCCAGACCCCAAATGCCCAGACTCCAACTGTCTGCTGTCCTGACCTCCTCTGGGAATTCTTGGCCTCCCCCTCCAGCTCTGGCAGGGAGGCCGGCCCTGGGGGGTCCTGTCCAACTGTGGGTCCCTGCGTGCAGGCACCTCTAGAGGAGCATTCACCTCACCCAACATGGGAGGGCTGGAGGGACGCCCTGAGCCTGCTCAGACCCGGGCCCTGCCTGGAATAGGTGATGGGGTGAAGGTGTCCGGGATGCTGGGTCATCTCCTGAGCTCCTGGACGGCCCCAGACATACATGAGCCTGCGCCACTGCCTGCCAGAGACCTCCAGCCAGAAAGAAACAGTGATGGCCCTGTGTTCTTCGTGCAGCCCCCACCAAGCACCTGGGTGCAGTCTGGAAACCCCACCTGGACTGCAGGCCCCCAGGAAGCCTCAGCTTTGATGTGGAGCAGCCTGACCCCAGCCAGGAGTGCCCTCAGCTGACCCTGCCTACCTTCAGCTCCCTCCTAACCACAGCCCCAGAGCCAGGGTCCCTGCTCTTGCTGGCCGTCCACC